GGTTCTAGTAATTCTGCTTAAAGTGCAACCAGGTTGAGCATTTTTACTCTTAAAATGTTCAAAACATTTCTTCCCGGTATGGCCTGAGAAGCGCAGATATGCTTTTTTTCTCAACAAGAGCTTGGTTTTTAAATTGGGGGGGGGGGGGGTTCCCTTAAAGTTGGCTGTGGCACTGTTGTGCTTCGTGGTTCTCAGGTTCCGTTCCCATAGCAGTGGATATCAACAGAAGCTGATCATGGAATATTTACTGTGAACTAACTTGTGTAAAAGGCTTTTCTCAATTAAATGTATTTTTTTTGGGGTGGAAGATGCATGTATCATTTTTTTACCCTGGGCCCCTCAAGAATCGGAATTGAGAAACCGTTAAGAAACGGAATGAAACGTAGAATCGGAATCGGATCAGAATCGTGAAATTCAAACACTACCCAACCCTACTTATGAGGCAGTTCCTCTCGTGTGGCTGGCCCAGACCTTCTTTATGTCTCTGTTTGTGAGTCCCCTGGAATGGTAGAGAATCGTTTTATCATGGCGTGCACTGATGGTTCTTCTTCTCCGTTAGGAACCTTCCCGGAGAAAACTGACAGTATAGACCCGTTCTTCTCACCCTTCTTCCCCCGATTGCCTGGTCCACATGTTTGGGTCGAGTTGTGAAAACATGTCGGAGTGTGGTGTGCATCCAGTGTGTTTGCAGTGGGGCGACGCTCCGGATCCAGAGGCCGAAACGGGAGGTCAGCAAGAGGCGGCGTTCCCGATCCTCTGCCCACGGTGAGACCCTCAATAAAGACCCTCATTTACGGAGGCGTCATCAGGCGGTTCATTGGGCCGCTGGGAGGCTGCAAGGGGGAGCAAATACGTGAATAATGCATGAATCAATAATTACATGACAAGTCCATAACAATACAGTCAATTAAATAATACAAGAATAAATATTACAGCATCCACTTAAATTAAAAACTAAATTGGATAAAATAAAATATCTACAACAACATAGTTAAGAAATGGCTATCATTAATATTTAGTCAATACATATCTACATTAAAAGACAATAATAAATATAAATATTATTTTTTTTTTAAAACGTTTTAAACAATGAAGACTCATTAATAACAGCGCCGTTTTTTGACTAGTTAATAATCACGTACATTTATCAAATTAATAATAAAACAAATATATCATCAAACAAGTTAGACAAGAGACCCTGTGCCAACATGCCCCACTACAACATGTAGCAGAATACCGTGATATTAATTAAATTGATACTTTAAATTCTAACAGAACAATTCAAAAAGGGAAAAAAACGATGGCATGATTAAAAATAAAATGTGATATTATAATAAAATTATTGCAATAAATATCATTATAAAACAATTTGTTCAAAAGTTGTAGGGACAAGATTGCATATATTAGGATGTTGTAGATGACTTCTTTACGGAATCAGTGCCGTTTTCGTTCGTAGGCTCTTTGAACTCAGATATCAATTAGATACCAGACTTTCGGGTGGCTGCACATCAGGGGTTTAACCCGAGCCAGCTGCACTCCTCTCAGGAGCGACGTGGTGTGGTGAGGGGTTATCATTGACGCTGTGTGGTGTGTGTGTGTGTGGCTGCTGGTCTGTGTGCGTGTATGGGGTGTGTGCTGCCTGTGTGTGTTGTGTGTGTGTGTGTTGTGCTGTGGCTGTGTTTGTGTGTGTGTGTGTGGTGTGTGTGTGTGCTGTGTGTGTGTGGATGTGTTTGTACTGTATGCATAAAGTTCAGTGGGACAGAGTTCCTGAAACTCTTTTAACCTTTCCTTCAGCCCTCCACTCACAAGTTGGAGAAACTACTCTACATACTTTCATTTAATTCTAAGCTGATTATTAATATTAGCTTCTATAAGCCTCTAAAAACTAAGTCATTAATATATGATATCTTATCTGAGGTAAGCTTTATCCTAATGTTTGATCATAACTACTAACTCTGCTTTATTTGATACACCTAAAAGGCCATTTAGGTGTTTTTATGAACGTGTTTCTATTTTAAATGTTTGAATTTAACACTGTTAAAAAATTCGTGAAAATATGATTTAAAACAGAATAAAACAAGAGGAAGGAAAGAGAAAAAGCCAAACAACGTTGATCATTATAGTTCATATAATTAATTATAAAAAATGGCTTAGAACCATGGAAACACATTTAACGAAAAACTTGGAAACAGATTAAAAAAGGCTAAATTAAGAAACAATTAGTTATTATTAATAACTATATTATAGTATGAAACCTTACTGTCAAGTGCTTAGCTGGCCACAGAGGCCACGTCTGAAGCGTGCTAGTTTGCTCTTTAATTGCGGGGGGTCTGAGGGGGGGGTCCGAAACCCTAGGGTGAAAACCCTAGGGTTAAACCCTAACCCTAACATGTCACCCATTGAGCATGTTTGGGATGCTCTGGATCAGCGTATACGACAGCGTGTTCCAGTTCCTGCCAATATCCAGCAACTTCGCACAGCCATTGAAGAGGAGTGGACCAACATTCCACAGGCCACAATCAACAACCTGATCAACTCTATGCGAAGGAGATGTGTTGCAGTGCGTGAGGCAAATGGTGGTCACACCAGATACTGACTGGTTTTCGGACCCCCCCAGACCCCCCCAATAAAGCAAAACTGCACGTTTCAGAGTGGCCTTTTATTGTGGCCAGCCTAAGGCACACCTGTGCAATAATCATGCTGTCTAATCAGCATCTTGATATGCCACACCTGTGAGGTGGGATGGATTATCTCGGCAAAGGAGAAGTGCTCACTATCACAGATTTTTTCAGATTTGTGAACAATATTTGAGAGAAATGGCTATTTTGTGTATCTAGAAATTTTTTTAGATCTTTGAGTTCATCTCATGAAAAATGGGAGCAAAAACAAAAGTGTTGCATTTATATTTTTGTTCAGTGTATAGTGTTACCAAAAAAGTCTTATTTAAGGGTTGATTATATGTTCTAATCCATATCTGCTAAGTAACTAAAGGTACTAAATAATGTAGTGGAGCGAAAGAACAATATCTACCTCTGAATTTAAGTAGAGTAGAATGACAGCATAAAATGGAACTACTGAAGTGAAGTACAAATACCTCAAAATCGTTTTTTTTTACTTTTGTTTGTAGATAGAAAGTGAAGGAAAATTAATTTTCTCCAGAAAGTTTTACATTTTCTTTTATCTTTGTGCTTAGGGAAGGTACGTTTTTACAAGTAGAAGTGAAGTCATAAGTCTTCGGTATAAGTCCAGGTCGCACATTTTGTCAAGCTGTGTCTAATGTGTTTTTTCTATAGATGTCATGTGACCATAGACTGTATATATAAAGCATGTGACCCACAATGTAGCATTGTATCACCACACTTGACAGGTAGGACACACTTTTTGGATGCATCTTATAGAAGAATATTGCCAGAAACATTTGTTTTTCATTGTGCAAGGGGAAACATTTACATTTTAAAATGAAATCTAACAATCTACAATACTTGTAAAGCAACTTTATTTTTTCTTTATCATCATATTTTAGTACAACAAGCACCATTTCAACTCTGTGAATATCTCAAACTATAATGGTTTGCCCTTGTAAAATCCAAACCAGGTGTCTCCGTCCTCTAAAAAAGGGACCAAATACTCAGGAGGCGCTTATGAAGCGGACCAGCACGGCACATTGAAGTTGAGCACGTGGAAGACAAAATAGAAAACAAAAGAAAGAACATTAAAATAGTAAACCATGTACAATTATTATACACACATAAACAAATAATTTCAATTTATTGACAGAGGATGATAAAGATACAAGTGCAACAGAGAAAAGTATACTATGTCTGCCTCCTCCCAAATACGACACCATGTTTCCCGTTGTGATTGTGTTAAAAAGGATGACATTTCTAATTCCAGGCTACCAGAGCCACGTTTCTATGATGAAGTCCTGTGATCAGTGTTCAATTCTCATATGCCTAATGTTTAAGGATTCAGTTCAAGCAGGAGGGAACACATCATTATCCAAAGTCTTGTTTTATCAGACCAATAGCCTAAAGAAGACTTCTCATTGTCCTCATTTCAAAAGCTACAGTTGTCCACAGTCAGTGATGACCAGCCTCTTTGTGGGCGGGCCTCCCTTTGTGCCCAGCTCCCCCATCTGCTGCACCACGTCCATGCCGTCCCGCACCCACCCGAAAGACACGTGTTTGAAGTCCAGGTGTTCGGCTTTCTTCAGGGTGATGAAGAACTGCGAGTTGTTGGTATCTCGGCCTCGATTGGCCATGGATAGAATGCCTGGGCCCGTGTGCCGAACATCGAAGTTCTCATCCTCAAACTTGCTGCCAAAAATGGACTTCCCTCCGGTGCCATCACTGTTGGTGATGTCGCCTCCCTGAAAGAACATTCGGGAACTCGTTAGTCTTTTCACATAAGGGAGGCCTCTTTTATTGGCCAACTCATCACATCTGAAAGCGAGAACTTACATCCACATGTTATCTTCATTGTCACTTTAATCTCTGCAGCCTCAAATCAGTGCGACTGAAATACTTCCAGAATGTCCCATGAACGAGATCAGTCACTGACTACCAGTCCCTGAAGTTTAATATCTGCACATTTTGTAATAATCTGCCAATAGCGACCCGATCTACTACTTTTATATATTACTACATAATATATCTGCACATTGCATAATTAAAGTACATTACAATTATTAAAATCAATCCAATGTATATTCTTGTTAATTGTGAAAACATTCTGCATCAAAGCTGTTTTTATCATTTATTTTGTACAAAATAACCATCCCTCTGTAATGTAAAATGTTCACACACACACACACACACACACTTATTTATGGTGGTCTAATGCAGTGGTTCCCAACCTGGGGGGCGCCAAAGATCGCAGAGGGGGCGCCAGGCCTCAGATGATTTGAGGCCAAATATCATATTTAGACTTTTTTAATTCTTTTTTTACATATAATTGTAATGCAATACATGATTGTCACTAAAAGCCTTGTCTCTACATTACAATAAAATATAAAAAATAATTGATTAATTAATTTGAAGACAAATTCAAGTTAGTAGCTATTATAGGCATGAAAAGACAGAAATTTATCATTTTTTCTTTAATAGAAATGTTTCTTCTGCCCGTAAAGTGTCCAAACCAGGCTTTTCTGGATAAGCGCATTTTTAAACATAGTCATTGTCCATGCCGGTTTCAGTTGGATTATTTGTCACACTTGCTC